TCAAACAGTCTGTGATCGCATATGATGCCTTCTCTCAGGTGCCCGTCTCCCTATCAAATTTTGGCCTTACGCTTTTCACCATGCCCTTTGCATCTTAAATGCACTCCCTCAGTGTACACAAACCCAATCACCTCTGCAACTCGTCAYGGGAAAGAAAGAAAACCTACGTAATTTCAAAACATTCGGCTGCCGCGTTTGRGTTCGACCACMTGGTTGAAGATCCGCAAAATTCAAGAATAACTCTCGAAAATGAATCTTCCTTGGCTACCTACCTCAAACCACAAAGAACATCCTGTGGTATGACRTCGAAACCGATTGTGTCAAAATTGCTTCTCACACTCGCTTCRACGAGGGCATGAATGATCTTCCCATTGATGCCATTCCTCCGAATATCATTCACTTGCAACGCTCTGAAAACGGATCACCAATACCACCCGATGACTCTGAAATMAAAGATATTGACMTGAACTTTCATATCTCCCCATTTCAAGACATCATGACAAAGGAAATCCATGGCTAATGCAACAGCCCAACATTCGGTCTCCAGCTAGACCAAGACAAATTAAACGGCCGCGTCTTCCTCAAAGACATTACAAAGAAATCAAGTGCTGCAACAATGTTCTCCAGCTGGAAAGCAACACGAAATAAAGTTCGTGGTGCATACATTGTATCCATCAATAATCAACCAGTCATTGACAAACAGTCTGCTCTAAATGTTCTCAAATCTTTAGTGGCGAAAGGCACAACAGAATTTGAAATCAAATATGCCACTGTTACAAAAGCATCCAGTGTTCGCAGATGGAAAGAAATTAACAAATATAATTTACATGCGCCGACTGACAAATTTAACACGACTGCACAAATAAATTATGCCGCTCTTCGAGCAATCACCACAATTCGAACTGGTACTCACGTTCCCTCCAATATTGTTCCCGACAAAATGATTTGACTAGCCATTAATGCCCTTACTTCGCAAACTACGACAAAGGAAGAAGAGGCACTTGGCCACTTCACCCGTCAAAAACTCAAGAAGCTCGATAATTGGAATGAATGGCTTAACGCAGAAAAAAAACAACTGGACCAATTCCACAATCTTGAGATGTACGGAAAACCGACCCCTTGCCCTCCGAAATTGATCCTCCTTAGACCTCACTGGCAATATCAAGTTCGCAAAACTGGTGAACGGCGATCTCGCAATTGTTGCGACGGTTCCAAACGGTCTGCACCATTGCTCCACGCAATCGCATCAACTTACTCTTCATGCGTCGAACAACCAGTACAACGTCTTTTCTTTGCCCTCACTGCCATCCTCAACTACAAATTGTACGCTGGCGATGCCAAAGACACATATGCYCATTCTCCACCTCCCAAAGTCCCTACCTTTGTTGCTATCGATGGTCAATATGCCTACTGGTATAAATGGAAATTTAACRAACATCTTGATCCGACACATGTTCTTCCTGTACAACACGCTATCCAAGGTCACCCTGAATCTGGTCGTCTCTGGGAAGAACATATCAACAAAATTCTTTTCTCCAAAGAATTACGGTTCACGACAACAACACATGACAAATGTATCTATCAAACAAGGTACAAAGACACGAAGATACTAATGTTACGTCAAGTTGACAATTTCCTCATTTCATCTCCCAATGCCACYCTGGCAAATGAAATCTACGACATTATAGGCAAGAAACTCCAACTTCCCAAAGAAAAGAATATTCCTTTCAAGAATTTAGGACTTGCCACGTCGTACAATGGAGATATCAAACAAACCAAACACTACATTGAAGTTTCTTGCAAAGATTATATYGATCGTGTCGCCCGATCCCATGGATGGACAACATCTAAAGATGAATTACTAAGTCACCCAACTGCCCCTCTTCCCAAAAAGGCACTGGACAAAATCTTTGACAAAGACGGCCCTCCTGAAGGATTGCCAGAACACAAGAAACTCAAGGAACACCATGGGTTCCCCTACYGTACACTGCTTGGCAAAATCTTGTACGCCTACAATGTTTGCCGACCCGATATTGGTTTTGCTGTTTTGACCATGTCCAAATTCTTGTTGGCACCTTCCAATTTACACTTTAAGTACCTCAAAGGTGTCGCTCTATACCTACGACRAACCAAAACATAAGGCTTACGCTACCGCAAAACAAAATTCCTGATGGCACCTTTACTGATTCCCCGATTCCCTTGCCAGACAATCTTCCACCATTTCCGTCGTTACCTACAGATGCAACCATCACATGTCTGGTCGATGCTGCATACGCAAACATAAAACCAAAACAAAAATCAACCACAGGTCTCATTGTCATGTTAGCCAATGCAGCCATTGTCTATAAATCCAAAACACAATCACAAACTGCACAAAGCTCCACCGAAGTGGAATTCTACATYGCCGTCTCTGCTGCCAAAATTGTGTTGTATCTCAGGTCTATCCTTGCTGACCTGGGCTTTCTTCAAAAAGATCCAACTACGTTGTATGAAGACAACAATTCTACCATCAAAATAKTGAATTCCGGTATCCCAACAGAACGTTCACGACACAYYGACATTCCCTATTTTGCAATTCAAGATTGGAAACGCGACCTTTACATCCAAATGCAGTTCATCAGTGGTAAAATCAATCCCGCTGACGCACTCACAAAACCACTTGGTTGGGTCCTTCACAATYGACATGTATGCCGACTCTTCGGTCACTTTTCTATTCCACATTCACAATGATATCCTCCTCCCTCGTCATTTTTTGCTTTGATCTGCTCACTTTACACATCACAGATCACGGGAGGGTGTTGTCCGTAGGATATCAGACTGTACGTATGATTCATACATACGACACGTACATACGATAAGTATCTATGATTCATACACACCATTCATATGACCGACGTGACTCATTTCATTCACTTGCGTCAGTGACTTGATTCATTCGATCCACATCTCACTCGATCCCCACAGCGATCCATTCTAGATTTCATAGTTTGTCGATCCTYGATAAGASCATCGACTCACTTTTCTACTAGCACACACTTTACATCACTATTAGGACAGTCTCTCCCACATTTCCAGCACATTGACTGACATCATGACRAAAATTCCATAGAAAAAATAGTGGAGTTGGACAAGATTTCTTGATGTCGGTAGGCACGCTTGATATATTTTACTTGGGAAAAAGATAGCCCAAAATTGACGGCAGGATTGTCAATTTTGGAGCCAAGCCTATACAATAGATAACTGTTACATCAAAGTACTCATTTTCAAAGACTTATTGAATACTAAATTCTACTTCCTCCATCCATCTCTGACTATCTAATGTGACTTTTTTAGATGTCTGAATATGATAGTCCATTTATTTACTTAGTAACACTTTTCAATATTTTCATTTAACCCCAAGTAACATATGACTGTGTAGAATACTGAAAACAGTACTACAAAATAGGAATGTGCAAGCTGTGCATGATTAAAAATTAATTTTTGAAATAAAAAAAAAACTATTAACAGGGTAAACACAGTTTCAACAATGGTATGGTGCACCTCTTTTGAATACAAATAACCAGTTCAAGAGGAGAGCAAGCTATACTAATGTGAAGTATAGCCTCAAAAACAACTCTATCATGGCTTTCTATAGCCACCGGTCCAGTCTTGCAATGACTAGTAGAACCCAACTGGCCGTAAATTCACATTGATATACCAAAAATGGCCCTCTTTCACCACCAGTAGCTATCACAAGTACACCAGGCACTTTACTTCTTTATCCAATCTTTATGACTGTATATATTGATAATACATCTGTTAAACAAAAAAGAAGCATTCCAATTGCCCAAATATTGAGTGTATTCTAAGATTAWAGGTACAAACTGGACATTCATTCATGGAGGACAGAGGAAGTACATGACAACATGGTGAGAGCATTGAGAATTCCTATCCCCAATGCACAATGACAGTGCTTTCAAACAGAACCAGAACAGAACCTTGGCCAACACGTCAGGTACGTTCTGTTCTAAAGCTCCCAAGTAGAATCTCTACTAAGATCTATAGTAGGGGCTTGAAGCATCAGACAGTACTAGCTTCTGATCCCTTACAACACAGGAAAGCATGTGAAAGGAGATCTAGACTTACATATCAGATAATTCATTATAATTCAGTTTGCAAGCCAACTAAACTAGTACTACACATTATTTTGTGCATAGTCAATCTAGATGAACGGGAATCACCCAATATGAAACCTTACAGCAAACTGTATGGTCCATACAAAGATAGCCAGATGAAATTGAGATTGTGATAGAAGATGATATTATGATGACCCTCAAATATGGCATTTGTCATACAGTACCAGTCAATTTGTACAAAAATTACACCTAGAATTAAGGATTTACTACTACTGTAACTTTGGCTGACTTGTTCTAAGCCATTAGAGCAGCATGATCATTTGGCTTCCCAATGACATGAATCTTTAGTAAGTAATTATATCAACTTGGACTGGGCGCTTAGTCTGGAGGTCTAGATTTTTTTAATAGAGTTCTGGCCTATTTTCTAACCAGCAGTTGGTCTCCACTGGCCATTTTTGGCCACACCAGCTGTTTAACAAGCACCAGTTTGTATTAGTAGTTGTTGGTAAAGAAATCCAACTTTGGAGTCCATTTCCAATTTTACTTATCTACTAGTAGGAGGCACCAGCTATGGTTACTGGCTTCAGTTCTCAATAATGTTGGCATGGAAACTTTGGTAATTTTGACTGGTGAATGTAGTGTTGATTTGATGAAGTGACAGGTTGGCACTGTCACGACAACAACGATCTTATGTTGTTCCTGGCCAGTACTACTACGACCTCTCGGTGCATTTCCAGAAGGGGAGTGCTTACTTTGCAAAAGAATGGTCGTACTACTCTGAGTCCTACCTATTGCATCTCGTAGAACTACTACTACTTCTTTGATCTGTGATATGGGAGGTATTGAACAGGGATTACTGTATGCGTCTCCCGTTGCCAATGTATTTCAAATTCTACAACTTTATCGCTATCCGCCCATTTTTTACAAAAGGCAAACTTGTTTTCTTGTGCTCTCTTTTGTTTAATTGCTGCGGTTTTTAAAAATCCAATCAAGGACCGACCGAACGAGCGAAGGAGTAAATGAATCTGATCGACAAAGCTATTTTTGGATCTGAAACGTTTCGCTCGCAAGGAACAACTGCATCGTGGTCGCCACCTCTGTACAATGTTGCTATGGAAATGTCTTATGGGATACAGCCAACAAGTGCTTTGTGTTTATGTGATCTGATCCGCTTCGCCAGGTCCAATTTCCAAGGAAACTTTCGAAGATAAGGTCCCATTTGTCGCCACGTTTCTCCACTATAAAAAACACGACAGACTTTTCGACACCAGCTTTGGCTCGAAGTTTTCCAACAGCAAACAGACAAGATTTCGAAACAGCTTTGTTTGAAGTGACATAGGGTGGGTTGATGGATTGATCGGTGGATTGGATCGAATCGAATCGCTCGATCGGCCCTCTTCGGTTGTTCGTTCCCGTCCCGTCCGTCCCGTGCCCGGCTCCCCTAACGAACCATTGTTCTCGCGCTGGTTCCCGAGGTGCCTCGCACTACCAGAACCAACCACCGCTGCTTCCCTCGGCATTTGCGGCCCTGCGCTGCTCGTTTTCCTCCCTCCGGCAGTCCTTGTAGGCCTGGAAAAACTCGTTGCAGGCCGCCCGGTTCTGGTAGTTGCGCTCGATGCACTGCAGGGAGGCCTTGTTTTCCTTGGAGCAGCTGGTCAGGTAGGTGGCCGGTTGGTCGCGCGGATCGGCGCTGCCGCTCTTTGACGCGTAGGGGGCTCTTGCGGGCTTTCCGTGGTTGTGCGCGAGGCCGCTTCCGGGGTTCATGTCGCTGCGGATTTTGTCCCGGATGGCCCGGCCGGTGGAAGGGTCGATGTCGTCGACGGCGGGCTTGGCCATGTTGGTGAGCGGGCGGTGCTTTGCTGTCGCGCGAAGGAGTGGAGGGGGGTGGGATGGGATGGGATTGCTTCGCGTCGTTGGGACGAAACAAGCTTCGGAGTGTGCGTCGATGGCTTCGAGACAGCAACGTACGATACGATACCGTTGGGTGTTGTCCGTGCGTGCTGTTGAGCAGAATCCAATCGTCAAGAATCAAGAATGCCGCATTGTGTTGTGGCTAGCACGTACTTGTACTTACGAGTACGAACGTGTACTCGAACTCGTAGTCAGACCGAAAGATGCCGGCAGAAAGATCAAAAAAGAGATCATTGATCATTGACTAGTTGGATTCGAACTTTATTTCCGGCGTACTAGAACCAGATGCCATTTTTCTTTTTTCATTACGTATCGTATGTACCAAATGTAAGGTGAAAATACGGTAGCAAGTGGTCTCGACAATCGACAATCGACAAACAGGTTTTGATGCCGTACATACCGTACCTCCTCACGGTATCATCAATGATCAACTSGTACCGTACGTACTTTACGTATCGTGCTCGTTCTCATACCCGTGCCGCACTCCGACGAAACAGAACGCATCGGATTGAAAGCGAATCGATCTTCCATTGCCCCGACACCTCTCGCCCCGACAACGCTTGCTCCATCCCAACCGCACCGCACCGCACCGCAGCAACACCGGCCGCTCGGATCGTTGAACGTGACCATGGCTCCCGCTCCCTTACCCACCGCCGCCGGCACCCAGGAGGGAACGGCCAAAGCTGCGGCGGCGGGTCTTCCCGCCCCGGCGGCGGATGCTGCCTCCGCCAAGCCGGCATCGGGAATCACCAAGAAAACGACGGGGACGAAGAGCAGTTCCAAGACCGTCACCAAGGCCTCGGGGGCGGGCACCAAGGCCAAGAAGCCCGTCCGCAAGAAAAAGTCCACAAAGTCGTCCTCGTCCGCCGGGGGCAGCTCGCAGCTGTCGGCGTCCCGCGCGGCCCAGCTGGACCTGGCCTCTCAGCGCAGCGCGGCCGCCGCTCGCAAGTCGGATCCCCTCTGGTATCAGCTCGAGGACTACGTGCTGCCGGCCGTAGCGGAGGAGACGCCCATGACGGAGGGCACCGGGGCCAAGATCCTGCCCGAGCAGGTCCAGATCGTGGAGGCGGCACTGGAGAAGAACGGCCTGACGCGGTCCGATGTGACGCCACAGGCCTTTGCGTGTTTGCTAGAGCAGGCGCGGCGGTACGCCATCGACATCCTGACCGATTCGCAGGACTACGCCTTTGTCGCGAACCGGACCGAGATCACAAAGGCCGATCTAGCGCTGGCCAACGATTTCCGGCCCGATCACCCAACGGCGGTCACCGCGCAACTCCCGAAACTCAACCTGCTGGCCCAGACCATCAACCGGGTTCCCCTGCCACCGATTCCAACGCAGTGTTATTCGGGCGTCTTGYTGCCCTCCAAGCGCTTTCAGCTGACGGCCCGGACCTTTGACGTCGTCACGAGCGCACAGACGGCGCAAAAGATGGTACAGGCGGTGCCGGCATTCCCGGCCAAAGCCAAGACCAGCAGCACCGGCAGCAGCAGCGGCACTACCTCGAAGAAGGGAACGTCGAGCTCTTCCAAGAAAAGCACGAAAAAAGCACCGAGTTATGGGGCGTCGCGGGGACGACAGATTGCGATCAATCTCAAGGGAGACAACAACAATAGCAACAAGGACAAGATGGATACGACAAAATAGATACAGAATGGGACCATTACCGTGCCAAAAAATGGTTTGCGTGGCGTATCGCAAAAAGGATCTATTCGAAGCACGCTCATTCCGAGTTTCAGCATTAATAACGAACATGAGACTAAATGTGACTACTTCTGTACAATAGTTGCGTTCTATCATGAGCATACATCCTAACTCTAGTTTGTGTGTACATATGTGTATTACTAGCACTTCTATTGATCGTGTGTATCATGATCRCATATTGACTATTGGTTCTGTCAGCAGATGTTCCGAAGACTCGACATTCTTTGACGCAGAACACCCATTGACAACTTTGGAATGAATTTAGGTGGCAGGTTTAGTTCCTCATCCACGCCGAGCGCCGAGCAAAAATCCAGCCGAAAATCCTCCCGCCTCGGGCACCGAATCTTTCATGATGGCCTGCGATTTCTTCCACCACACTTCAAGGTCTTGTCCGTCTAGCTTTCCATCGGCGTTCTGCTCGTAGTGTTTGTCACGCATCAAATCGAACCATTGTCACCATCGACCGCCACGAATTTAGTGAGAGAACAGAGCGTGCATAAATGGATTCGGGGCCAAGTCACAAAGCGAAAGAAAGCTCAACAGAAAKAAATGGATTTGGCGGAACAAATCATCCTTCAAAACGTACCGTATCCAATGGCTTAATGGCGTCGTCTTTGATCTTAGTCCAGTCGACATCGATGTATCCCATACTCTTCGCCGTTTGTAAGCCCATGAACCCTTTGTTGAAACCAAATTAAAAACGAACAATGAGGAACAAAGTATACCATTGTGGTATGGACGGAACAAGAAMAWTTTTGTTTCTTACCAAGTCCAATTACTACACCCACGGCTCTTCCGGCTTTRCGAAACGCCATACCAGAGCAGTATCCCATGACTGCACCACAAAATAATTAAGACGAGCACAAGCGCAGAGAGGAAGAAACATTTGACAACGGGTGAGTCACTCATCAAATGCGTAGGKGGCGCAATTGCCAATATTCAAATCCAAAAGAAATCGTTACGCACATCCGCCGAACCCCATCTGTCCGAAAGAATCCTTGTTTTTGTCGATGAGTTGTTGGACTACGTCCAAGGGGTCATTTGTCCCGGACATGGTTGAAATTTATGTTGCTTGGTAATACGATAGCAATAACGTCGTTCTTTTGTTGACGAGACGGTAGGGGGATCCGTACAAAGGCAATGCCTGCAAACACAGTTCGAATAGAATACGATTGACTGGATCGGTTTGGTGGTGATATTCAAAATTATTCTGCARCTGCGCATTAAATGTAGTAGAAGTACTCGTAACGGTACAATTGAACATCAGCTTCGCTTCGTTGTAGGTGTTCCGCCTCGAATTTTGGAGGAGAGGCTACTTGGCGTACTCGTACTCGTACTCGTACTCGTATTCGTGCTACAAAACGCAAAACGGTTCCTATTTATTATCTATTCTCAACGCCAGCTCGTAAAACCAGAAATTCAAAAGAACTCAGGACTCACTCGAATCGACAGGGAACTTCTTGTTGAATCAATACTACGTACCGGTACTTTCCACCGTACTGGCACTAACTTAGTTTTTGCAATCGTAATCGTAATCATAGATTTCAGGAAAAATAACCAACTGAATTCCCCTTTTCACTAAGCGATGAGATTGTTACCATTGGCAGCATTTCCGATCCAACAGCAAGAATCGCAGCAACTGTATTCCTCGTACAGTGTATCTTGGAGTTAAAATAGGAAATGGGACTTAACGAATGATAGGCGAGCGAGTGTGATACAAGCAACAACAATATTGAAGACGACGTCGAAAAATATCGCCGAGCAAGCACAGTTTGTCCGATTGACAGGATGGTGCAAGTGGAATTTAGTCGGGTGAAATCCTCGTGGCTACTATACAGCTTTCTTTTGCTTTTCCGTGTCATAGTTGGTCCGTTTCTATTTGGTTATGTCCATCCAGATGAGTTTTTTCAAGGCGGGCAAGAACTATTTTTTGGTTGCCCACCAACGATTCCATGGGAGTTCGAACCCAACAACGCCCTTCGATCTGTAGTGCCCCCGGCACTAACAACAATTCTTCCTTTACAAGTTTACAGCTCGTTGCGCAAAGTGATCAAGGAAGCATTTGGATGGGAAGAAATGATGGTCGGAATGGGAAGCTTATCGGGGATGGAGGTTCTAGTCATTCCTCGGATAGCCTGCTCTTTGCTTTCAATTTTCACGATCGACAGGAGCGTCTGGTTTATTTGTAATTCCAATTCTTCTGATAAACGAAACAAGGACACATCGATGACGGAGGGAAGCGTTCCAATACCTGTTCTGCTTCTTGCAAGTTCGTGGCCTACGATGGTTATGTTAACTCGGCCGTTCTCCAATTCCGTTGAGTCTTACATTCTCGCCCTCCTGATGGTCACTGTCCTTTCCATAGAAATCAACGAAAAACAGGAATTTTCATCCGAATCATCTGTATGCTTCGCATTTTGCTGCAAAGTGGGAATAATATGTGCACTCGGGATTTTCACAAGATTTACCTTCGTCTTCTTCGCTTGCCCAATACTTCTAATGCTTTTAAACAGTATGATACGAAGTTTTGGATTGAAGAAAGGTATCCTGTGGAGGAAGTTGGGATGGATGRCATTATCTTTTGTTTGCATTGCTCTGGGGATTGTTTGGGCAGATACTACCTTTTATTTGTCGAGACATAACGGCAAACCCATGCATGGCTCGACGGACGACTGTTATGAACCCGCAGCATCTCTCTCCATGTTTAATTCATCGTTTATTTTGACGCCATTCAACGCCTTGTCTTATAATAGCAAGATATCAAACTTGAAGGATCACGGCCTCCATCCAAGGTGGACTCATGCAGTCGTGAATATGGTCATCATGTACGGACCTTTGACTCTAGCTACGTATGTTTTGATAACCAAAACATTTCTGCACAGTGCTAGCGCTACAACCAGCAATCTCTCTCTGCGGAAACCATTTGGGGAGGTTAATGCAACACTGATGGCATCTGGTGCTGTACTTATCTTTGGGTTGGGATTCCTTTCTATCGCCCCTCATCAAGAACCTCGATTCTTGTTACCTCTATTGATTCCACTGGTTCTACTTGGTGAAATACCTTTCCGACGTTATCCAACTGCTTGTGTAGTGGTTTGGGTTCTATTCAATACAATACTGTTAACATTATTTGGYATTTTACACCAAGGAGGAGTCACGCAGTCCCTACTGGAGATTGGATCATCCCAAGTATGGGGCCATCAGAAACAGCCTACATCATGGATTTACATGAACACTTACATGCCTCCAACATTCTTGACAAGGTTATCGCATGATGTCGTACACAACTCAAGAACCTGCGGCAATTATCAAGAGAATGGTGTTTGCAATCCAATCTCGTTTCACGTGTTCGGTGCAGAACGTGATGATGCCTGCCAGAAAGCAGAAGTACGCATAATGGACTTGAAAGGCTCCAGTATTGATAAGCTATCAGATACGCTGCAATCTGAACTTTCTTGTAACACGAGACGACAAGATGATTCGAAATTTAACTCGTTCCTTTATCTTGTTGSACCGAAAGGGCAGTGCGAACTTCCCAACGACACGTACAAATGCAGCGAAGTGAAGAGCTTTGGTCCTCATTTATCTACAGAGGATTTTCCTCCACTGAATGGCTCTGTGACGGAATTCTACACAATGCTGGCTTTAAGCGTCTATAAAATATCATGTGCGGCAATGACATGAAACTCGAGACAAAACCACGGATACAAAATGCACACTACATAAATAGCTTGCTTTTTTCTGAAATCTTGTTTTTATATACAGCTATCAGCACGATGAATTTTATCTCGTACTGCAGACTGGTGTCATAAAGGGAGGGGCTTGAAATTGACTACCATAGCACGATGATCGCGTGCACCAGTCTCGTTAATAATTTGAGGCGTCTTCCTGCTTGCAATGGCATGAACGCGGGTCAGAATAGATTCTGACGGTCTCACTGCTCTTCTTTGAGCACTTGTCGGTCTCTTGGTAGACCCGAAGTGAGATTARAAAGTAGAAAATGAATTCCTTATACCATTGCCACTATCTTGTTTTGCTTTGCGCTAGAAATCGATTTGAACATAACTTCTTCATCGAGTATATTGTTCTCAATCCAATGTCCATTTTTCAACACCGTAACCCACAAACTTTTCGTTTGTTCGTTTGAATCCTGCCCCATCGAAACCAAAACCTAGCTTATCTGCCTCTAGCTCCAACATTTTGACTTCTGTTGGGGAAAGCCTCCAGCCCATTGCCCCCAGGTTATCCTCGAGCTGCTCTACTGTTCTGCATCCTGGGATTGGAACAGCTCCCTTGCTAATGATATAATTCAGGGCGATTTGCGCCAGGGTTTTCTTTCGCCGCTTGGCAATAGTTGCCATTGTTTTGAGCAAAGGCTGAATACCCCCCTCGGGAATGGATTCACCGTCACCGTACGCATACCTTTCTAAATCTGCAAGTTCCAGGTTCGACTTCTTCCTACCATTGAGCGAATCATTTTCACTTATGAACGCGTTCGAATACTTTCCAGTCAGCAAACCCATTGCAAATGGATAGTATGCGAGAACTTTGACGCCTAATTGGTTGCACTTGTCAATAGTTTCTTGAGATCCGTTGTGTCTTCCCAACAATGAATATGAAATCTGATTCGAAGCTAGAGGAACACCCTYCTCTGCAAGTGCCTCGTGACACTGTTCCACAAGAGTAGGTCCATAATTGCTATTTTCAGAGAAAAGAATACAGCAAAAAATTGATTATGAGTGTTAGGTGGAATTGTACAGACTGGGGTTGCAGGCAGGAGAATTTAAATACCTATCTGGGACACTTACCACACACCAACGTTCTTCACAAGTCCTCTATTATAGCATTCGGCCAATCCTTCCCAATAAATCCTGTCCTTGGTTTCAACTTTTCCGAATGCCCTCAATGGTTGGACGACTGAAGCAACATAAATTGGCGATTGGTGAGATACGAGACGATTCAGTTGTACAAGGGTAGCAACAAAGTTATCAGTCGTGCACCACGKGGTAGGGAAAAAAGAAATGTCTTCCATTCAAAAACGTACTGTCTGGCATGTGTATCTGGTACAGATCTATTTGGTCGACACCTAGGTTTTTGCAGGATTGTTCGCAGGCATCCACAACGCTCTGGACTGTCGTTCTCCACGGAATGGGTGTGAATTTCGTGGCGACAACGGGCTCGACTAAGCTCGGCCCCTCTGCGAGCTTCGCTTTCTCCAGGTACTTGCTGGTCATTCTTTCCGTCTCTCCGTATCCCATGCCAAAAGCTGTCTTGAAATGCGTTCCGTATCGTTCCGCCGTATCGAAAAATGCGGCATTCGATCGGTAGGCCTCGGCGACGACATTGTCTAGCTCTTTGTTTTCTGTGGAGAATATCTTGTTGGACGACCAGGATATGGTTCCCGTACCAACAGTGGGAACGGTGATGGATCCGATCTTCGTCGTATCGACAGATCGGGCGATGCGTTTCTTGATCAGAGGAGCTTTAGGCTTTGTCTTGGTACCGGCGATGTATGCCTCTGAAGGCTGCGCCGTAATGAATAGAAAAGCTGACACCGCAGCAGGGAGGAAGGTTGACGATTTCATTTTACTGTAATTGCGTCTCACATGTAATCAACATAAAATTAATGAGGGATTTSAAGACAAATGATATTCTGATAGGTGTATTCAATGTTATTTGAACGCCGAGTCGTTAATGTAATGAGGACGACGTGGTGGAAGGATTGGATGGTCTCGTGTGCGTGCCTCGGCTTTCACGCAATTTATCCGTTTTGTTACAGAACTCGTGCGGTTTTCTTTTCAGGCTTCCTGGCTCGGGCGATGACTTCAGAAAACGATTGAATTCTGCAAAACGATCAGCATGGATGATGTTTTGTTGTCTGTATTCCTCGTACTGRCTGAGTAATTCGGATTGGACGTGTTTGTGATCAATCAAGAAGTTCGTGTTCTTCGTTCTTTTGTGTGACTGAGGTTATTTCCAATAGTCCTATCATTGCTCAGTTGTGACTCGTGAAAAATGATATGACGTGTTTTACACGTTTCCAAACGTGTCAACATGACTTTCTCTCGTACTCGTGCTATCTGCTGCTCAAATTTACTTCGAAGTATGTTCTCGTACAGTTATTTCTACGTAATTCTGAACGAAGTAACAGAACGCTTTATGAAAACCCGCACGGGTAGACTGTCAAAATTCAAAAAGCATTGCAGAAGAACGCGCGCGGTCATGAAGAAAGAAACCCTTTCTTCTCATGGCACGTAACATACATACCATAAACTCATTTGAATATCAGGAAGTAGAGTGAATGGAACAAACAGAATGATATTTTGATTTTTGTTTGTTTTGGAGCTCTCTTTCACTCATTTTGTTGCCTCACAGCCTGTGCYAGTAGAAAGTGACTAGCTCCCAGCCCCAACCAATTCAAAAAGATTCCCAAGGAGGAGTTGGCTGATGGACCACCAGCCAGAAGAAGGCGACAGAACCATTTGATTCTACTCCTCCTGATACTCCTCCTACTAGTACTACAATTATGCTTCCATTGCTTCACCACTAGTATGTGATGAATAGGCAAGAAGTGGTGGAATGGTTGAAGAACTGGTGTAATCACTAAAATTTCTTAAGTAGTAGTACTACTAGTAGTACATTGGAGAAAAGTGAGAGAAAGCAATCATGATTTCTCACTGCACCATGAAATAAGAATGTGCTGTACTAGTACAATAATTATGATCTTGTTATTTTGTAGTATTTAAAGTGTCAACACATCTTTTGACCAATATAGTATCATGTTAAAGGCAATGTCAAGCCCTTAAGATTGTTGCTATTCCCTGTACTAGATCCTGGAACTAGTAGATCTATATGGGGTTCTTATAGTAGTTCTGCTCTCATGACATCACTTCTTGTCAAGTAGTATTTTCATATCTTTGTTGATGTAACTGCAAGAATGTGTCATGTAGTATTGTTGATGATAAATAATCTAAATGCTAGGTACTTTTGTGCCTTGTGTAGTGTAGGTGGTGTGTATTGTTGCATATAGTACACGATATATAATATCGTATAGAGTTGGCCAGCTAATGCACAGTCCCAGTTGTAGATTACGGGCCATCTAATTACCGTGTAACGACTCATGGGATTAAAAATTTAACCATACAAAATCCACGTGCTCAGTACATAATCGAATTTTTGAATCCCACCAAAATGGTTCTGCTCACGTGCAAAATAGTTTCGCTCGCACGTGCAAAATTGGCTTGTACTGCAGTGTACAGCGGGCATTTTGCGCRCACGTGCTCAACCAACAATTTTGGCTTCAAACACATGCAAATTTTTAATCCCACRAGTTGCTTTCACGTGCATGCTGTAGGCCTAGTACAAGTCAAATTTTTAATCCCACGAGTCATTACACGGTAATTAGATGGCCACTAATCCACGCACACGTATAATTTAACCGTATAACTGTTTCAGTCTTGAACTGACAGTTTGGGCTGTAACTTTTTCCTCAACGGACGCTTAAGTATGATAAGCACATGGTTAAAACGAGAATTCAAAGAGCTTTCTAATGGCGTGGGGGAGTACGGCGTACGACGAATATTCACTGATATACGTTTACGTATATATTGAATTGCTAATGTACGACTGGTGCGTCTTTTTTTGCTTGGCCCACGCTATACGATAGTATGTATCATAATCTTTACTATAATAGTACTATTAGTATTAGTAATAGTATACTAATACTCTAATACTACTACTAGTACTACTACTACTACTACTACTACTACTACTACTACAACAACAACTACTACTACTACTGCTACTAGTACTAGTACTACTACAATATACTATTGTATACTAGAGTTGGCTACTAGTACCAAATCTTCAATCCAGTTGTAGTTTTTGGCCCTTATTTTGCATGTAATGAATACTGTGACAAAAAATGGCTTGTACTGCCGTTTACAGCCAGGCACATGCTGAATTGTTGAATCCCATCAGTCTTCTTGCAACCAAATAGTTTTGTGCCCAGATGCTTTTTGCTTCAACACATGTTATTGCTGTATTGGTAGTACAAATCAAATTTTTAATCCCACAAGTCATTAGACAGAAAAAAAGATAATCCAAATGGACACACAGTACAAAAACATGTAGAACATTAACTAAGTGTCAACTCACTCTAACAGCTATCTTGGTCCCCACCAATGGACCCTTCCAACTAAGACTGAAAGGCACATGAATTGAAAGCCAATTCAAACAGGATTCTAGTTGTATGGGGGAGTTTGGCAGTCCTACTACTAGTAGTAGTGGTATTTATCAATATTCATGTACATATGTTGATCATTTCTAATGTACAAATTGCACATTTAGAATCCGTTGGCAAATCCTATATGATATTAGTACTAGTACTATGAAGTAAAACTAGTAATACTATTATCATTTAGGCTGCTCAGCCAGAAAATCTACAATGCACGCATTGATTCTGGGCCCTTATTTTGCATCTGATGATTAGTTTGACGACTAAAAACCTGAATCTTACTACTAAGAAGTTTACAGGGGGCATGTGCTCAAATTTCATTTCCACCAGTCTTGTGACCATATAGCTTTCCCTGCATGTGYCCTTGCTGTATTGKTAGTGATTTTAAATCCCACAAGTCATTACACAGCAAAAAGATGGCCCATTATCTATGCACAGTATTATTTAACCATATGACTGTTTTGTCTTGAACCAAAAGTTTGAGGTGTATCTTGGTCCCCAACCAAAGCTTAACAGTGATAGGCACATTAATAGAAAGGAAATTTAAAGACAAATAGCCACGTCTATACAATAGTATACGATACCACTATATACTAGTATATACACAAGGTACAAGAGTACTGGGCATTGAGAATATCCTTCATCAAGAATACTATAGGACACCTGTGACACCAAAGATATGAGAACACTAGTACAAGAGTGTCATGAAAGCAGAATTGTAAGAACCCCTGTAGAGAATGTACCAAGATCTACAGGGAAGGGGAACAATCTAAAATAGCAGTTGCCACCACTGAAAGAGTTCTGAGGTCACAACTAGGGTCCTTAAAGGGGGATTGCTTCCAGGTCTCCCAATGGTCTTTGTTTCATATCACTTCTGTACTTCTTTCTGCAAGACACATTTCCAGCTGGGCAAGTGATTAGATTCACAGTTGTCTTGTAGCTTTTCTAAATTATTGAGACAGTCTTTGGTGATACTTTGAATGTTGCAGCTACTTTTCCTACATTACAAAAGAATCTGAACAACTGCTTGCTGCTGATTGTTGCTCAAGTTTGTGATCAGCTTCCTTGAGGGATGAGCATTATTGTTGCTTGTTGCAGTATTGGTTCCTTCCCAAAAACATTGAAATATGTCTTTTTGACCAGTCAGCTTCTTTTATGTATCTCAAAGATACAGATACTGGTTGTTGTGGGCTCGCAACAACCAAGATCTGTGTATTTGAGAGACATATTTATTGGAATCCTTGACTTAT